GCATTTTATTTATTTTTCAGACATCAGGTAAACTAAATTTTGTTGTTGTTGTATTTATTCAGTTGTCATGCAAATGATTTTACACTTAGTTTTAGTTATCTACGCATTTAGCACATCAACTGTAACACTATCAACATTTAACAACAAGTGGATCAATTCGTTTCGCTAAAATGTGAATTAGAGAACATAGGAAATAACAACTCAACAGATGTTGCTATTAATATGTCTGTAACTATGACAGACCCTGGAAAATGATTTTTCATAGTAATTGGTCAGTGTTCAACTGGATAGAGATATTTAATCAATCACATGTCATTATTGTTTAGCTAATACAGCTTGAGAATTCTATACACCCAGCATTCTAGTGTAAAATGCGAATATTCCTATTAGGCATTAGGAATTTATCAAAAGTTTCAAAATTTGTCACTGACGCCAAAAAACATTGTCTGAGAGTAGATTACAGATTTCAACATGCAATTTGTGAAGCTGCTGTACAAAGTCAGTGTATGGAATTTCTACTTAAAAATCCAAGTACTTACTGTAGAACTTCTGTATATTTTATTTTAATGGAGTATCGACTAACTTGCAATTCAGAATTGCAGATAATACCATATTACAATAATAAGTTTTAAAATTTGGAAGATTTCAACTGATATATCGTGATACTGGGGTTTTCTGAGTACTTCTCAATAAGACAAGATATAAGCCAGATATCATTTATATTTTCTTACAAACAGGACTCATATAAGTGTAAATCAATGAGTTTAATATAATCCATAATTTACTGACTAACTGGTGAACCAGTGAGGTAACTATGAAAGCCGATGGACTAAACTGTAAAGTTGTATGAACGGTTAATAGTTTGAATAAGCCAAACAATTTGTAAAACTGGCTTCCTTAAGTATAAGTACTAGGTTATGAGTTCTATTACAATTATCTTTGTAATCATTATGTTGATTGTGAATATTCTTGTAAAAATCTTCATTCTGTTTGATGTAATTCCTAGTGTTATTGTTGGTTGTCACATAGTTACAGATCATAGAGATGTCCTGTGACCTAAAACATTTACGTTAGAAGAATTAGTGCAAGTGTAGGCTTGAGTACTTAGTCTTAAGTTGAGCTGGATGGTAATAATTGAAAGCGGTAATTGAGATGAGTTCAACCAAAGTACCGTGAGGCAATATATAAAAAAAAGTTGTACACGGGAAAATATCTAAATCAAAAATGTAACAATATAAACGGATAATTATTAAAACTTACTACACACTACTGACAAACACAAGACAAGGTATCACTTAATATCAATCCATGGGTAGCCCCTGGAACACTTTCAAAGGCATAGTCGGGATTATAATTTGCCATTCTTGTCCATTCATTAAGTCAGATGGCATCATTCAACGGAAACCTTTCCCACTGATACATATATATAAACAATCTTAACTTATGTTTATAATTTATGTTTTTTTCTTTTGTTAGCTTACACGAAATAGGTTAATGTATTTGTTTTCAGTAATCTGTTTGTTAATCACCTAAAGATCATTTTTACAGGGGTGATGTAAAGATAGAATCAGAATAACACTTCTGGACATTACCAGGGTCATAACACACAAAAGCACAACGATCATACTTTGAGAATTCATATATTTCAATGTAAACAGAATTCGTTAAAATAGGACCGATATTATAACTGGATTAAGTTTGATAAGTGAATCAAGTTAGAAATTTCATTATTAGCTTCTTTTCCTATTTCAACCTATAAAAATTGATTCGAATTACTGAGAAATAGAAAGATATGTTTTAGCATGAGTATGTATAAGTATTATATCCGTACGAGGATAAATTAATGGTAAACGTTAGAAACTACTTACGGGCTAATATTATACTCATATTCATATTTTATGACTATTATTAAATGACTGTATTATATGCACATTCATATTCCTTTCATTATAGGCTTTTATTCGACCTAGTGGCTATTATTATATGGTTTACTATTCTAAATCCATTAGTCACAGTCTCTCACAGTCACAGCCACTTTTTGGCTTGAACTTGTACAAATGTTATTCTCTGCTTTATGGTGTGATGTAGTCTGATTTGCTTGTATATAAACCAAGTATTTTCAAAATATATGGTTCGTATCTTGGAGGTCAAGATTGACGTTCTGGACTAAATAGACAGGGTAAGACGGACAAAGGATCAATCAGAACTCTGGGCTGCTCGTACAGTGTATGCGTCATTAGTTTGATCGTATAAGTCAGCGTATCTAAATAGGCAATTGTATTTCATGATGTCGTATAGATCAGGTCATAACTATTAGAGCTATAATCCAATATATATAAGAATCCCTTTTACATAAAGTTTCCCATAAAAGTGATCTTTTAATTACGTGTTCGAGGCGTTACTAAAAGTTTAATTTATAAACGTTTAAGTTCTGAAAATGTCTATTAACTTTATGGCATTATGACAATTATATCCAAAGGTATATTCATTACTTTTGTGAAATGTTTAATTTGTTTTAGAAGTTATTTGACTATTTTATTTTTGATTTCAGTGTGAGAAGATGATGGAAAGATGTTTGAATAAAACAATCCATATTATAGAACAAACCAATGCTACAACATTATGCAAAGTAAGATAGATGCAATATAGTGAGTTGGTAAATAGCTGAAATTATAAATTTTCTATTACTGTATGTATATTAACATGGAGCATATCTCCAGGTGCATGGGGGACAGTTGACAGATGCATTCCGAGTAAGAAACAGAGTCAGAAAATTCTGCCTATTCTCTCCCTTCCTCTTCTTCTTTCTCCTGGTGGTCAACTGCATTATGAAGATCTCTACATCTGGAGGAAAACGCGGGATACAATGAACAGCTCGGAATGAATCAGAAGATTCGGACTTCTCAAATAACCTGGTCCTTCTATCCCATACACACGAACAAATTCTTATGAAGACAACTAGTGAAGCAGAAGCCTCCACATCAGTAGACCTCAACATACACAAAGAAATAATCAAGGTCATCAAATACAACACAGAGAATACCGACCTAATTTCACTTGATTGAGAATCTTTGGAAGAGATGGACTCTTCCACATAACTGGACAGCATGATTGGTGAATAAGGAGAATCGGATGCAGACGTAAAGGCGAGAATTGTTAAAGCAACGGCCATATTTCTACAATAGATGAGTATATGAAACTCAAAACAACTGTCTATCAACCAATATCAAAGTCAGAATCTTCAATACGAACGTCAAGACAGTTCTACTGTATGGAGCTGAAATGTGGGGAACTACCACAACCATCATCAGGAAGGTTCAAGTATTTATAAATAGTTGTCTACGCAAGATACTCAACATCCGTTAAGCGGATGACATCAGCAGCAGTCTACTGCGAGAGAGAACAAACCAGCTTCCAGCTGAAGAGAAAATCAGGAAACGATGATAGAAATAGATGCGACGTACATTACGCAAATCACCAACCTATATCACGAGTCAAGCCCTAACATGGAATCCTGAAGGGAAACGGAATAGAGAAAGGTCAAATAACAAATAACGTCTAGAATTGGAAACAGACGTGAAAAGAATAAATAGAAACTGGAAAGAACTGAAAAGGTTTGCCCAGGACAAAGTTTGTTGGAAGGTGCTGGTGGGAGGCTTATGCTTCTCCACGAGGGACAGTAGGTGTAAGTAAGTAAGTCATTAATATTAACAATCCTAAACGATCAGTATCTTTCAATCTTTTTTATACATATAAGAGTGATGTAGTAAGAAAAATCGTGACACAACATATACTGAATGTTTTTAAAAAATATTAAACGCAAAGAGGCTTTATTCTTAATTTTTCAGCTAAGCGATAGTAAATCCAACTCCAGAAGATAAGCCTAAAAATTAACCTGGCATACACATAACTAGGTGACAGAGAAATGCGAATTTACGCTAATGCGGCTTGTAAGGGTATTATTCGAATCACGTCAGACACACCATATACCTTAAGATTGATACTTTTTCATAAAATAAAAGACAAAGTAATATACACAAAATACCTAATCTTCGTATTTATCATAAATCTGTACGCCTTTCTCGTTACCCTGGGCATCTGCTAAATTATATATCTTCTTACAAAATGTTGATTACTTTAATTAATTCTTTATATTTATGCTTACACAGTCATTTTCTATTGTCAACCTGGTTGACTAGTTCACCCAGTTATCTTCTTACTAACTCATAACTATTTCTGTAGATAACACTAAATGTGCTGAAATGCTGTTGATCGACATCACTGTTTAGTTATTATGAACACGATATTCAAGGGTGAAATTCAAATAACTACATAAGACGAATGATAAGCAACTAACCTTAAATACGTTATTTCACTACTCTGTCTGAAATCAACAGTCTAATTATACTAATAATAATCATTGTTAAAGCCATTACATAAGATTGTTATTTAGATGAAAATATAAACATCAAGTTATTTCTTTTACACTTTCAAATGATTAATTTATTTTTTATTATTGTTTTTTTGTTGTTATTTATTTCTCAGTTTACTCCTTTCTGTTAACAATGGGTCGGGGTTATTATGATCCGACTATTTACATTATTATGTAACATTATTTAAAGTGAAAATATATGTGTATTAATCAATGCCATTTGAGTTCATTTTTAAAACGTTTTCAAAAAAACATAATATTCTCAGTTACTAGGTAGTGATTATAGTGTTAATGACTTCTCTGAAGAAATATCTCATAGCTATCAATTTTTGTTACCGGACGTTATATTTTGAATAATCCGGTTAAACTTGAGAAATTATTGAAATTCGTATATATAAATATATCAGTGTCAATGAATGTATAAACAAATGAAATATATAACCAGTTAAGTCGTTTGATCTAATCATTTTTCATTTCTATCTCTGCCTTATTTCGTTACGGTTGATTTATGTTTGTCAGTTATTAAAAATGTATTAGATTTGAAATGATTTATGTATAAACACTGGTTCTAAGTTTGCTTTTTCTCGATTGTCAATGATGTAACATTGTTTGACATAGTACACCACTTGTTTTCATCCATCTCTTGTGTCTCCAAGTCCAATGATGATGTATCATCGTCAATTGACTGCATTATATACGCAGAACTATTTGTAATGGTATTCTGATTACCATCATATTCATAATTGTCATTTTGTAAATCACCGTACTCTCGAGTAGTTTCACTTTCCAAACTTGTCGACCAAATTTTAGTTTCATCATGATGTGAAAATGATATTTTATTTCGATTCATACTATTAGTTAATTTATCAGGCTTACAACACTTTATAAGTAATATAAGAATAAATAAAATCCCAATAAGCAAACCAACACCTGGAAGAATTCCTTTAATTTGAATCAATCTGTTATCAGCAACACTTGTTGATGTAGTAGTATTAGTATTATTATTATTATTATTATTAGTAGTAGTAGTATTAGTAAAAGAACTGAAATCTTGATGTCGACATTGAATACTCCACAGTAATGAATATGAAACGAACAAGCAAACGTATTTGAACATATTTTGTGTTGAATTACTAGATTTCCAATGAAGAATCTTGACAAACAAATGATGAAATGTCTATGAACATAAGATTCTAAAGAAATATACTCATCTCCTTTAACACTTTAATTATTGAATTCTAATTAAAGTGGAAAGTAAACTATTTATATCATATCACCCAATAATAATAATAATAATTATAATTATAATTATTATTATTATTACTATTACTATTATTATTGTTATTATTATTGATAGCAAATGTAAATAACTTCATAGTTTATTTCTTATTAAATAACTCCCTATCTATACTCAGTGATGATTGGGATTATATTTATAGTTTAATATTATTTATTTATTTATTTTTTAAAATTTATTTACCATCATTGTACTTCTCATGACTGTCCATAGTAGAAAAATTTTGAAAAAATTTAATAAATATTAAAAACAATTGGTGTTTGTTGATAAATTATTTACATCAAACAGTTTACATTCAATGTTGATGGAGTTTTGTTCTCTGAGCTGGATTAGTTTAGTCGTGGAACATTCAATATATTTGTACCATATTATTATTATTATTATTATTGAAGAAACAAAACAAAATATTCATTGTTAGATTGACCTTCATTAGTTTTGTTTGATTATAAAATGATCCATTTATTTTGAATAAATATACAACTTATACAATATAGGTATATTTTGAATTTTTAATAACCATTAGATCAGTATGTAAAACTGTAGTGAACAAGAACACTAGTGGAGATAATCAAATGTGCCTTGAACATGAAATTACAGAACATCTCACTAAAATCTTAGAATAATACAGTAAATATTTCATTTGCAAAATATCAATCCATTGTCTCAGATTTTATTGTTCCTGGATTTTTGTATCAATTGCTTTCTTTTCCCATTCTTTCCTTCTCGATCTTCTACTGGAATACATTCTATTCTTGACTGTCGTTATATACTACTTATGTGGATAAAAGTAGCACACATCACAAAACTTGTGATTAATAATCTATATTTCATATTTATTATAATATTGTCTTGTAATGCTATCAAACTTAATATTATGAATTCCGATTTACTTACTTATTTAGTTAGTTGCTTACTTAATTACTTACTTGCTTAGGCCTGTTACGCCCGATGGAGCATAGGCCGCTGACCAGCATTCTCTAACACACTTTGTCCTGGGCTTACCATTCTAGTTCTATCCAGTTTTTGTTTATTCTTCTCATGTCTGTCTCCATTTCTCGATGTAATGTGTTCATTGGTCTTCCTCTTCTCGTTTGACTTTGAGGAATCCATGTGAGGACTGGGCTTGTGATGTAGTTGGGTGCTTTCCTCAATGTGTGTCCTATCCACTTCCAAAGTTTCTTCCTGATTGCTTCCTCCGCTATAATCTCATAGAAAACCAACTCGCTAAAAAGACGTTAACCAGATTTCTGATTTGCATAAAATAATTTAAGTAAATTCCTTGTTGTATATTTTATTGGTGAAGAAATTTACAATATGCGTTCTAATCAGTATTTCACTGAAGATGCAAGTTCGTATTTACAGATTTAGCTTCAGTTATTGTAATACTTAATTTTACCTTTCGTATTAATTTAAAGACTGATTGAGCTCAAAATATGCCGATCATATCTACAACAATCGTACATGTGACTGTTGACATTTTATTATCAAACTACATCAAAACTATTTGTGATAATAAAACAGAACTAGTTCACTTCAATTTATAAGCAGGAGAGTTTTTGATGTATTTAGTTATATGAATCTAACCTTTGTTACATGGTACTATATTAATTAATCAAAATTAAAGTTTCCTGAGTAACTAGAGTTGCAGACCGTGACGAAACTGAATGATTTCAGAACTAATTTCTCAGTAACACTGATAAACCCGAGAAAACAACGTTCTCTGTTTTAGTATCATTGTCATGAAATAAAACTCAGTTTCTCAACAGTGAGACGCAACAAAATAAAAAATAAGTACGAACAAACCATAGACCAATCCAATCACATTGAAGTTTTAGTCGTAAGTTCTCCAGAATCTCATCATTCAAGGCCTACAACCACAAAATATCGCTTTAATAAGTTTTTCAGTGAGGTCCTCACTTCGTGATCTGATTTTAAAATGCCTGCTTTCCTACCTATTTTTTCGATCATTGTTAAGATCTTCAATTGGGTCACAAAATTGTCTGCTGCAATTTCAAAGAAAATGACGCTTCTCAATATTCTTGTATGATACTTTCATATATTTTTATTAATGTTGTAGCTAGCCAACTTCTTAGGGTGTAGAAGATCACATTTAGATTCACATACCATACCTGAAATATCCTACGTGTATGTAAACATTCTTTCGATATACTTTCTGCATGACAACACTTTTGTTTAAATGATAATTCAATATTATAGCTCTTAATCTCCTCAATCATATGTGTAAAATTATTTTTAGATAAGGTGAGATCGTTTTTTCTCTTGTATTTAGAATTTTAGTGCTCAGTCGTTTTTCTGCTGTCATATGAAGTTCCTTCAGCTGTCTCAGATCTTACTTTTATCAACCGTTTACTGAGTATCTGGGTTTTAGCCGATTTTTCTGATTATTTGTATAAAGAACACCGTTTCTCCTGTGCCAAGAAACATTTTCCGGTTTTACAATTGACTGAGTTTTTTTACTTTTAAATGTGTGCTTTCCATATCACATAACTCCGCCTGTAGCTCTAACAGGGTTACTGCCGGTCCCAAGCCCGGGTAAAGGAGGAGGGTTGGGCATGGGGTTAGCGTCCCCATCCCGTAGAAAACTAACTCGCTAAAAAAACGCTTACCAGAAAAAATAATCCAAACCATTTAAACTCTGCCCTGGGAGTTAGAAGGTCTTCAGTTAGAAGAATTATGACGCTTCATGGTGAAAGCCGAGTTCCTTCGGAAGCCACGAGGCCGATGCCCCTTCTAACAACCAGAGCAAAAATTTTTATAGGTACATGGAACGTTCGAACAATGTGGGAAACCGGGAAGACCAGTCAAATAGCAATGGAAATGAGGAGATACAACTTAGCAGTACTGGGAATCAGCGAAACCCACTGGACCCAAGCTGGACAGAAAAGGCTAGCTACGGGAGAGATGCTGCTATACTCCGGTCACGAAGAGGAAAATGCTCCACACACTCAGGGAGTCGCTCTTATGCTGTCCAAAGTAGCACGAAATGCACTTGTAGGATGGGAGTCTCACGGATCCAGAATCATCAAAGCATCATTCAAAACAAAGAAGGAGGGGATCTTAATGAATATTATCCAATGTTATGCACCCACCAATGATAGCAACGACGACATTAAAGATCAGTTCTACGAGCGGCTGCAGTCAATCATTGAGAAATGCCGAAGAAAGGACCTAACTATTCTGATGGGAGATCTAAATGCCAAAGTCGGAATAGACAACACTGGATATGAAGATATTATGGGACGACATGGACTGGGAGAAAGAAACGAAAATGGAGAAAGATTTGCAAATTTGTGTGCATTCAACAAATTGGTCATAGGAGGCACAATATTTCCACACAAGCGTATACACAAGGCTACATGGATCTCACCGGACCACACTACAGAGAACCAAATCGATCATATTTGCATCAACAAAAAATTCCGAAGGACAATGGAAGATGTGAGAACCAGGAGAGGTGCTGACGTAGCTTCAGATCACCACCTAGTTGTAGCCAATTTAAAACTGAAGCTAAAAAAGAACTGGACAAGTGGACAAACAGCACTACAAAGGTTCAATACAGCCTTCCTTCGAGATACTGACAAACTCAATGAATTCAAGATAGCTCTCAACAACAGGTTCCAAGCCTTACAAGATCTACTGAATGAAGAAGAAACTACTATGGAGGACAACTGGAAAGGCATCAAGGAAGCATTAACTTCAACGTGTCAAGAGGTTCTGGGCCTAAAGAAACACCATCATAAGGAATGGATCTCTATAGAAACACTGGACAAGATCAAAGAAAGGAAGAACAAGAAGGCAGCAATTAACAACAGCCGAACACGAGCAGAGAAAGTCCAAGCACAAGCTGAATACATAGAAGCAAACAAACAAGTGAAGAGGAGCATTAGAGCCGACAAGAAGAAATACGTGGAAGAACTAGCAACGACGGCAGAAAAAGCTGCTAGAGAAGGAAATATGAAACAGCTTCACGATACAACGAAGAAACTAGCAGGGAAATACAGTAAACCAGAGAGGCCGGTCAAAGACAAAGAAGGCAAGCCAATCACCGAAATTCAACAACAGCGTAACAGATGGGTGGAATACTTCGAGGAACTCCTGAATAGGCCGGCTCCAATGAATCCACCGGACATCGAAGCAGCACACATAGATCTTCCTATAGATGTCAACCCACCAACGACGGAAGAAATTAGAATGGCCGTCAGACAAATCAAGAACGGGAAAGCAGCAGGACCCGACAACATACCAGCTGAAGCACTGAAATCAGACATCGAAGCAACCACAAGCATGCTATACCTTCTATTCAAAAAGATTTGGGAGGAGGAACAAGTGCCAATGGACTGGAAAGAAGGACACCTCGTCAAGATTCCAAAGAAAGGAGATCTGAGCAAATGTGAAAACTACAGAGGCATTACACTACTGTCAATACCAGGGAAAGTCTTCAACAGAGTGTTGCTGAACCGGATGAAGGATGCAGTAGACGCCCAACTTCGAGATCAACAAGCTGGATTCCGTAAGGATCGGTCGTGCACAGACCAAATTGCAACACTACGGATCATCGTCGAACAATCAGTTGAGTGGAACTCATCACTATACATCAACTTCATTGATTATGAAAAGGCATTCGACAGTGTAGATAGGAGGACATTATGGAAACTTCTTCGACACTACGGAGTTCCTGAGAAGATTGTCAACATTATCCGGAACTCATACGACGGACTACAGTGCAAAGTAGTGCATGGAGGACAGCTGACAGATGCATTCCAAGTAAGGACTGGAGTCAGACAAGGCTGTTTACTCTC